CCACAAAATTCGTTTATTCTTATGCAGCAGCACTGAAATGCGATCGTTTTTAAATTAGAGTTGGGCTTATTTGTTTTGTTTAAGCGATATAAATGAAAAAAGTTACAAATACAAAACTTGAAACGAGTGTTCAAGTTAAGAAGTAGTAGCCTTCGATACAGTAGTATGATGATGGAAGCAGACCTTTTTTGGTACATGAATTAGGATGGTAGTGGCTCAAAAAATGGTAACCAAACACTAGGATATATTTTGCATCATTTCATTTCCCATTTTTCATCCTGTCTTTTATGAGTTTTGATTTTCCAGTTTCCGGTTGGATTCCGGAAAAGTGCTTGACAGAGTACACCTTTATGTCGAGAAATTAGTGAATATTTCTCGAAGAATTTAATAGAAGAACAAATTGTTTTAAGTATAAAAAATGTATGTTGTTAAAAAGAGTGGCGACGAAGCTGCTAAAGGATGAAGAAGATAAGTACAAATTATGTCTGGAATGAAAGGATGCACAACATTGATCTATTGCGTTTACATTCCAAGATGAAGCGCATAAAATACTAGTAGTCAATACAAAAAAGTGCAGAAGCGTAAAAGACGAGCCATCCAAACACATTCTCAAACTACACGACCCAAAACAGTTACTAATTCATTGCATGAAATGAAGATTATCAAGCCTACTCCAACTGATGGTTCTCGTTTTGAGAAGAAATTTTTAAGGCGAACTAAAAAATTCTGTTGAAATCATCTCTCAGTTAGGTTGATAATTTACAAATTTGAATCAATCGTTGTGTTGTGGCTGCTTATTTTCATCCATTCCAGAATAATACAGCAAACTTTGTGCGTTTAAGACTGATCTTTTCTGTATGTTTTACTCATGAATCTATACATATTATTGAAGCATGTTGTGATTCACCGGTACTATGATTGTTTTCAAATGAAATGCGATTTTTCAGCAATTTTGATTCTGTTCATTATTGTTTTTTACAGCCCCAAAGCCATTACGGCCTCCACCTGCATCCTCGTTCAATAAAAACGGTCGATTTGAAGTATCCAAAATGGACGTTTTGAGTGAAGAGATCTGGGACTTTCATAATACGATAACACAGTCCGAAGGACTTCTCAATCGTAAACTACATCTCCGTGATATGCTTTATTACTGTATTTCACCTGTATTCCCAAGTAAGTTCTCGCATCAGTTCTCAAGTTGCAGCTTTCTGATGATGAGTCTAATATTTACAGTGTGTGGTCTGTATGTGGTTGGTTCTTCGTTGAATGGTTTTGGCAATAATTCGTCAGATATGGATCTTTGTTTGATGATTTCGCATCGAGATGTGTGTTTCATTTCATTAAGTTTTCACTTGAAGAAATTTTGTTAAAATTCTGTTATCTCATATGCCTGCGAATATGTCTGCTCAAACGTGATTCCCTTCGCTTGTGATATGAAAAACTGATTGATATTTCTAGAGAAATGCATTACGAAGGGTACACCTTCTTATTGTTATCAGTGTAGTGATCAACAATCTCAGGCATAAGTAATTTAGCAGATCAATAAAAGGAATTTCATATTTTCAATCATTAGTCTTTCCCGGGTGTCCTATTCCATGAATGAGTAGTTTTGAAATATGATGTTTTGTTGATCACAGTCGAACCGTATTTGTTAATATGAAGCAAGTATTTTTCAGATTGATCAGCGGTCAGATGCTGTTGTTGTATTGGGGATGATTAAGAGTGCCTTAGAAAGTGTTAGTTTGGTGAGAAAGCAGCAGTTAATCGTTGCCAAAGTGCCAATATTGCGTATTCGTTTCACAGAACCATTCGATGATATCACTGTTGATTTGAATGCGAACAATTCAGTGGCTATTCGTAATACACATTTGCTCTGCTATTATTCATCGTGTGAGTCTATCTTTATTCAGTTCCTATTTATTCGTTCAAAAATTTGATGTGAATGCTACCTAAAATTTCATCCACAAAATTAAATCATTGGCGAATGTGTTCAAGTAGTTTGTGTGAATTTTGATCAGAGATCGAAAACAGGTGCGAAATGAATGATAAATGTTCGTTTGATAAATAATACGCGATGGTATTTTAGTTGATTGGCGTGTTCGTCCATTGGTGAGTGTAGTGAAGGAATGGGCGAAACGAAAGGATATCAATGATGCGAACAGATCAACTTTTACCTCATATTCACTTGTGCTTATGGTTATACATTATTTACAGTGTAAGCTAGTTCCTTACATTTATTTAATCAAGTAATTTTGTCATCGTCATTCGTTGCTTCGTCTGGTTTGGTTGTCATTGCTTAACGCTCACCCACATTCATTTTGATATAAAGTATTTAAATTCGAATATAGTTCACTCTTTCACCTTCCCAGACATGAAGTATGCTATGGAGATGAACCCTACGGAAACTTTATCATCGAAAAAGACCCATTATCGTGTACATTTGGCGGCTGTCATCGGAGGAATGTATGAATGTATTCCAGGCGGTGCTACTCCGGCAGTATTACCCTCACTACAAGAGATTTACCCGAAACGTTTCAACTGTCGCATTGATGTGCGAACGTTGAATGTTTCAATCCCATTAGAACCACCAGCAAATGGTGAATGGCAGTTTTGTGAAGGAAATACTCTTGGTGAATTATTGATTGGTTTTCTTGAATATTATGCATTTAAATTCGAGTGAGTTCAGATTTATTATTTGACCCAATATGTACCCTCACAGTTGTGATATTCGTTTTTTTTAATCTCCATGTATTAGTGTCCCTAACTAATAATCGGAAGTTGCAGAAGAGAATTGGACTGGTCATTTTCAGTTTTGTTTTCAGAACATTTTTGTGTTCGGATTAAGTTTATTTGGTGATTGTTATTCAGATCTGTAATTAGTTGTTATCGTTGTTTCGTTACATTTTTTCATCTTTATGAGCCATATAAACATCCTTCATCTTCTTTCCTCTCGGTTTTCCCCTAAGAGTTCAACATATACAGTGGTTTCTGTTTTAACTGTGCTCAGCAAATTCGATTCGACAGTACCATTTTTACACCAGATTCGCTTTCGGACACCACACTCCTAGTTTTTTTTTTTTTTAAAATTTTATCAGGCTTGGATAAGGTTGCTAAAAGCTCGTAGATTTGAATGACTGATTTATATTGTATTCTGAATATTAACGCATTTCAGTTATGTACATGATGCAATCTCGGTTCGGTTAGGCTCCAAAATTGAGCGTTCGTTTGTTGCACGTCAGCGTTCACCTTACAACAACAGTATAGCTCAGTGGAATTGTATTTGCATAGAGGGTAAGTTATAAAGTATTCTTGGTTTGAGTAATGGATGAATGAATGAAAATTGCAGAACCGTTCACACTTTCGAATACAGCACATTCAGTGCATAGTCAAATGGTGTTCGATGCCATCAAAGAGGCGTTCATCGAGGGTTTTGAAGAGCTCGACTCGAATCGTGACTTGAATGCATTCCTCAATGCAGCACCCATTAAAATTGGTGCTAATATCGCTTCAAATGGGTACTTGTTTTTCATTTAGATATCTTAAGTTCAGTTGAAAGTTCGGCTCAGACCCTTGGCTCTGTATTTCCTGTAAACGTTGTTCCTAAAAGTTGTAATGCTTCATGCGTATTATTCTTAAATCTTTTCGCATTATCGCCATCTTAAAATTATTCATCACAAATTTCCTTGTGCGTCTAGAGCAGTGTTTATTATAAAAAGCTATGATGGACACGCTGCTGAAAAAATTAGCACCACTAGTTGCTAATTTGCTGAAGAAATATTTTTGTTCCGCTAAAAATAATTCGCTGTTGACGAAAAAGTAGCGAATTTTTTTTCTTTAAAAGTGCCGTTGACCGGGAAAGGTGGCAGCATTTTTCGCTAGAGCATCACTTACATTGCGAATGTTCAGCTTCATTACCTTATTTCCACAAAGTAAAGTGCGCAACCCAAATTTCTCCATTCTTGAACATGTCCCTTCTCTTTGGCCTCGTTCTGATTCATACGATGATAAACGCTTTCGTTGATTCGTTAAAAGTTTTCGATTGGGTATTCAACTTCTACTCGTTAAGACGAGATGCGGTAAGTTTGAATTGAGCACTTGTCAGTGCCAGAGCGCAAATATATTTTTTAAATATCTTGATGCTGGGAAAATCAATATTCTTTTGCTAATGAAAAGAAGCGAGCTAGAGGAAGTTTCAAAAAAGTGATTAGCTAAGCAAAGAAAATAACGCATGTTTCTACTATGTAAAAACTACATAGCAGAAGTTTTCGCTGCAGATATCCGCTATGTAAAAAATAACACGCTATCAGCTCTTCTAGTAGCGAAAAAGCGGATATAGCTATGCTGTTATTCAGCAGTGATAAAAAGTGAATTGTTTCTGGTTTCAGATCATCATCTCATTTAAGTATGTTGTCTGTGATGAGCACAGAACATAGTGGTAATGATATGAACTATGATCGAATGATTGATCGGCACCAAAATTCGACCGCACCAAGTTCTTTATTCCTGGTTGATAGTACCACATCGGAAAGTAGTGGACATAGCAGTATTGATTCGTCACCTCGTAGTACTCCTATCAATATTGAGTTAATATTTTTCGTATGTTCGTGTTTATTTTTCTTGTTCTGGGAGTTTTACGTGATCGTTGAGACTTACTTAACGGTTGCTGAAAATATCATTTCTAATCCTTATTCGTCATTTCATCATTGCAACTTGCATCAAGCGTTTTCTAAATATGGCACAATAATCTGGCATGTTTCCCATTGATTTAGTTGTGCCTTCAGAGAGCAATCGTCGATTACGTCAAATGAATCAATTGATGGAGATGTAATGCGGCAGGATGTAAAAAGAGCATTTGATCAGGTTACTCGTTTGTATCATTTCATAAGGAAATGAAGAACTCATCAAATTTCGCGTTAAGCATTCGCAAACGATCTTTTCAGCTTGCAACAAAGCCTTAAATTCCTTATATTTAGACGTCCAAATGTTAATTTTATATTGAAGGATTCGTACGCAAGTCGTGTACAATTTCAACGGGAAGGAAAACGTCTTGATATGATTCCGGCCGAAAAAGTGACTATTAATAGACGGGTTCAAATGATTGCAGATGTCGATCGTGAACGTGATACAACTGAACGGTAAACTTATTTAAAAGTCTTATTATTAGCATTATAATATGAGTGCGAAAGAACATCAAGGTGAGAAATTTCAACGAAAACAATTCCTTGAAATTGATTATTTCTTTGATATCGCATGTTTAATAGACGAACTCTTTTAACGATGTCAAGAAATCGTTATCCCTGCAGCTGATGAAAACTTTCTTTATGTTTGAAAGGAACGCAGTTCGCTTGATGGATGACTGATATCTTATTTCGCGGGAATGGTGGGTTAATTATTTGAACAATGCAGATATGACGGTGATAAAGCATCGAAATGGACAAAACCGAACGGCGATTCGTTACAACACCGGAATAAACATCAGCAACAACCACATCAAAACCAACAGACATATGGACGTCGTCGTAAAAATGGAGCGGGCAAGCTTCGTCAGACGTTGAATGGTGACGTTTTATCAACCTCAACGTACTGTGCCAATGATACACTTTCAAATAAAAAGTCTTTCTCTTTGGGAGTTTTGTAATATCTAATTGATTTGTCATCTTCTAGCATTTCGTGTTATTTCGCGATTAATGAGTCGCACTGTCCGTTCACTTCTCAACGTGAAAACGATTTCATGGTTTAATCGAGTTTTTAGAATAGTTAAGATCAACAGCAGACAGAGACGATGTAAGAAATTTTCATTACATATTCTGTCATTATATGGTTATGATGTATTTAATGTTCACGATTATCCTCATTATCAAATCGATTCGTGGTTTGTAGCTGTTCTAATAGTATTTTGTTGAGCGTTTCAAAAGCCGATTTGATAGTGATCGACTATTGTACTCGTAGCTATTGAATATACCAGTTCATATTAATGTAACATTTCCACTCCATTATATAATCGTTTGCCTTAATCGTCCACCGGAGTGTGTAGTAGCCGTTGTTCTGGTGTTTTCTTTTGGGTATTTCCTGTTCGATCTCATTATAAAGCGCCACGGCGATTGCATGTTAGTTGTGTAGTTCTTCCGGCAGCACGCACTCTCGTTCTGTATTTGGTAAAAAGAATATTCTAATTTTTTGCGGTGTTGGTACAAGTATGCTCATCTCCGTTAAGGAGCTTCTTTACAATTCGCTTTGCCTTTCATGTTTATTATTTTTGAGTTACTTCTCTCTGTTTTATGGTTAGTTTAACATCTCTGCAAAAAATGATATTCATTTCATTTACATCAAGCTTGACTGGCATGAGATAGATTTATAACAAATTTTATGATATCTTATTGGATCAGCAATAGCAACATAAATGCGATCATGAATCGGTTATTATTTGGGACATGTATTGAGCATATTATTGCTTCGATCAGTTTCGTAATTCAATCATATTTCTTTATTCGTTCATTAATATTTCGTTGAATGCTCAATCAGTGAATAATCATGTTCTAAGGGTCATTAAACTTGGCAATATTCAGCCAACTGATTCGCTTTCCATCGCATTTGTTATTCATATCGGGTAACTGTTTATGTTATTATTCATCCTCACTGATTGATTATAATTTTGAGAATTCAATTTCGAACTAAGCTGTCATCATATTAAGCTGTCAGCTGTCAACTACCATATTCAGTTGGCTGTTTGTTTCGTTGCGCATAAATAATTTTTTTTTAATAAGCGTGCATTCATTCGTCCGTCCATCTACTGCTGTCCTTCTGAATGATTATCGTTTTAATTGTTTATTTGATCTTCGTATCTGGATGTAAAATGCTCTTTATTCGTTATGTGATCATGTTTACCTTTCTGATTTTAATTATCTGTCGGATTTTTATCTTATTCGAATCCATTTTAAAGTGTTTCGTTCAGTTATTCTTTTGAGAAGTATATCGAAGATCAAATGTATATTTGTGTACTGATGTGTGTAATGGGGTATCTTATAAGCTGCGGACACTTGTAGTCACAGATAATCTGCATGGAAATTTGACGTATAATTTCGACGGTTTTTGGTTGTCTTCCCCATCAAACTTCATTGTGGCCATTTTTCGAGAATCAAATTCTTCTTGAAATTAACGAATTTTTTTTGGCACAATCAAAAGTCATTAATTTTGTTGATCTAGAAAGGAAGTCCAACGCAATTTTTGTTTCATCAAAGATAATTTTTGCCGATTACTCCTGAAAATAGTCTAAAAACCGATGAATAATGTTAGATTGCAATGGAACTTGTGGCACAGTGTATGAGAGCAATTTCATGATTGTATGCAATTAAATATTCTCAATTTTATTCGGACGTGACAGCAAAGTGGTTGTGTATTGCACAAATTCAGTTGTGCGCGCATGTACAAAGTTGCATTACCGTCGTTACTTTGTTTTAATGTTTTATCACAGTCATTACTGCAGGCCTTTTGTCATTCATCATTCGTACAATCGAAGTTGTTGCGTTCGGGAGCAAGTATAATATTACTGTAATTAATATTAAATTTTTGAGTAATAGTTAGTTGGAGCAACTTGATTTCATTGAGGGTGTTCTCATTGAAAAGTATCGTTTTGCAAAATCTGAAGGAATGGATTCTTTCACGTGTGGGGTGACATAACATCTTCACTATATTTGTTCCATGGAAATCGATGAGCCTTTCAGTAGTCCTAATGTTGTAATGGGGAGTGAGTGAATTTTGCTGAATATAAGAAGTCGTTGATGAATGTAGTTCAATGAATAATTCTGTTCGAAGGTGATTGCTTGAAGATGCTTGGAAACAATCGAGTATATTGTGTAGTTTTGTGGATGAAAGTATATTTGGAGAAATTTGTGTGAATTGCGCTTTATTTTAATTGTTTGAATGATTCGTTCGTTTTTGTACTCATCACATTTGTGTTTAATCTCTTATTTTATAAAAATGCAAGCTACTTGCCGTGTTCGGCTTTCATCAGCTGAATGAATTTGCACATCACTGAATGAATGTCGTGCCAAATTACTGTAAAACTGATGATAATTTCATTGTAACTTAACAAATTTTAAAATCAAATGTGATTAAACTGCACGCGAATTTGTGGATAATGATATGACGATATAAATTTTATTAATTTATTGATGATTGGTAATGCTATAAGTTATTTCAGACCGGTGAAAGTGAAACGTGATTAAGTGATAGCTTCGAAAAGTGAAGGAGTTGATCGAATGTGAACGTTCTCTATTCGTTGATTAATGTAGCACATTTGATCGCTGTTGGGATTGTTAAATTCTTGAACGTAACAGTTTTTTTCGCGACATTTGTTTAGGATAGATTGTTTCGAATTTCGGCTAAGGGGGTTCTAGTTTTGTCCGATGAAGGGATCACCCTCTCTAGATTCACCTCTCTGTAGGAATGTCTCCTTTATTCGGTACCATTTGCTGTAAGTATCTTTCACTCTTGGTTACGTTAAAATGTTACTGAATCGTCGTAATCATAATGGCGGGCCGTGCTTTTGTGGTGATATAACGTTGTTTGGGTCATAATTTGTATGTTTCTGTTACTTATGTGTTCAATTCATGTATTTCAAATAATCCATGTAAAATTTGATATTTTAAATAATTCGTAATAAAGTTTCCTTTCTTTTTTCTTTCATTCGTCAATGATAGTTTCTCACAAGTGATTATGAATTGTCATTTCGAAACACCGAAGAAGGCTCTTAAAACCAGAAATTACCCTATTGCATTGTAGCATTCGTTTATTCAGCGTGTTTCTATTCCACACTTTTGACGAGCCGTTCTATTCTGTTCTATTCCGCCCTTCACTTGTTCAGTTCCTTTCTTTTCTTCGCGTCCATTTTTTGTAACTGTTCTGTCTTATTCCTGGAAATACATAGTTTTATTGGAATAGAAATATCGCTGCTCTAGATGATCCTAATGCTGTCAGTGATAGGTCATGTTTAGGTGATAAGGGACGTTAGTCTATTTGACATTGTGATTTTTATTTGTATCCATCTTTGGCTTAAAGCCAAAGACTTCGAAATTCTAAAAATGACACACCATGCCAGTTTCAGTATCATCAGCATGAGAAATGATATCACCTAAGAATGGCACATCACTCTAGATGAGTGGTCCTCACGCTCGGGTGCTTCATTACCCCCGCCGATGGTCTGGCAACCCGTCATTACCCCACTTCCGGTACAGCAATTTACTGCTTCCACGCATAACGTCGAAGCTAATTTTCCCGACCTGTTCCATTACCCCGTGACACTCCCGAACTACCCAAAGATGGGTAATTCCCGTAATTCCCCTCACTCATTGTGGGGACCCTTGCTTAGATGAATGATGTTTTTGTTGCACACTTTTAGCGGATCATTCTATTCTGTTCTATTCCGTCCTTCATTTGTTCTGTTCCGTTCTGTTAATTGCGTCCACTTTTTGGAACTGTTCTATTCCTTGGAATAGAAGAGGAATAGAAAAGTTTTGTAAAAAAAACGAACACATTACAATGCAGTTGCATTGTAATGTGTTCGTTGGAAAGAGGGTCATTGAACAAGCGAATAATGTGAATGAGCTCAATGATCGATGGAATCAATTTCTACACATATTTACAGTAAATCAATTTTAAGATCCGTTTTAAGCTTGTTTTCGTCAAAGGTATGCATATTTACGTTGTGTGAGTGAGATTTCTTTTCAGATAAGATACAAGTCTTCTTTTGAGTAGAGTTCAAAAATTGAGATTTGTCATTTAATAATTATTTGAGAAAGCAAAATAAGTAAACAACATGACTGTTCGACTTAATTCACTAATCGAATATTTATATAAAGATTCTCGTTGTTCAGGAAGTATCTTATGAAAACGAACAATAACTGCAGTAATAATATGCAAATAATTTTCATTGCCGACCTTTTGTTGAAGATGAATTTCATTGTACTTTTTTATTTTATCGTTGAAGTGTAACACACTATTAGCAGTGCGCTTATTGAAGGGTGCTCGTTTCCTTCTTCAAAGTCTCATTCGTATTCATTGAGTCGACTGTTCGACAACTGATAAATTGTTCTGTTTACCAAAGTCAATTTCTGAGTGATTTGAAAAAAATAACGTTGTGGTGAGATCAAATTAATTAACTGATGTAAGAATTAACACTTTGGAACTGATTTTGCGAGACTAGAAGCATTTGTTTCGTGTTGTGCTGATTAAATAAACGTGCCAATTTGGTCATTTCTTTTTCAACTGGAACGCTTCATTGACGTGTTATGAAGGTGTTTGAAATATATTCATATACAATCAGTGACAATATACAGATAAAATTTGATTGTTTAAGCGCGACCGCGATGTTTATGACGCCGTGTTGTGTGGAAGATGAGACGATAGCACTGCTGTTTGAAACTTAAAGGCTCTTCATATCGATGTAATATTTCAGTTCTAACCATCACTGTCTTAATATATCAGTACCGCCGACTCTCGCCCTTTAATGTTTTTTTTACAATTACCGTATTCATGCGCGCACTTTTTTTTACAGTTTATCATTCTTTTTTCCAATGACATCTTATCACAAACGTTTTGAAAATATTTCTGCGAAAGATTCACTTCAAATATTTGACTGCATCACTGCTTGTTTGGATTCATTTTCACATAGATTCCTACTAGAGTTTTAAAAAATTCTGAAACAGTACAGTCTATTTTAAGGAAGAAAATTGTTTTGTTACCATAACGTTTTCTTTAAATAACTGAACAATCCATTTGTTTCATCAACGTGGAAACAGAAAATTGGAATTGTGAGAAAAACATAATGAATTATGAACATTTGTCAAATTGCAATAGCGAACAATTGGACGTTATAAAAAGTATAAGTAATTGACATGGTGCGTGTTGTTTTGGAATCACTCTGATCTGATAACAAATGAAAGTATCGATAATAGCTGGTTTTGTGCAGTCACTTTCAATCAAGTAATGATCATTGAACAAAATCCTCACCAACCGATTGACCCATAAACAGTCGCGAGCACTGCACGCACTTCAGACTACTCTTTTCTAGTCCGTTTCTATTTTCATATTAAAATCCATAATGTCCTTCAGTATTCATTATCACGTCTCAAGCGATGCATGCATGAAACCGTCACTAAGCGATCGCTTTTACAGAACACATTTAGAAACTCTTCTGTCAACATTGCCATCATGAAAGAATTATTTAAAATCAATGAATGAATTCCAACTGTATTTTATTATATGTTTATCATCGTTTTTCACCACAAAAAAATGACTATGTTCTCGTTTCTCGTTGTCCTATCCTCGCCAACTTCTTTCAACCGCGTGCTCCTAACCGTTAACTTCCCTTTTTATAACCCTCAAAACACTCGTTTTTGCAGCACATGCCGCAGGAAATTTCCCCGTCTGAAGTATGTGTTCATTTTCAGTTAGAGGATTGTTATCTGCTAAGCGATGTTCATTCATCGAGAAGTTAACTAGTGTTATGAATCCTTCAACAAAAACGATGATCCCTTACCGAATGCTGTAACGAGCAAACTATCTCGTAGATTCAACGAGAAATATTAGTGTCCATCTTGTTCGTGATCTGATATCATCAAACAATCGAAATCATTGTTATGGTCAATTGTAACTGACTTAGCAGTTGACAAAAAACGTTGATTGAAAGAGTGACGTTCAAATTAGAGCGGCTGGACGTACAGTTCAATGAAGCGGTTCTCAGTGAGACCATTTTATGTCAATGAAACGGAAAAATAGCATGTTACGGAAGTGTTTTGCAAAACAAAAATCAATCACTCATAAACTATCCCTTCCAGCAACTTCCATCAAATTAACTGTTCTAGGCTGTTGAAGATTTTTGCCGTACACTCACATTTGTTCTCATGAGCCGGCTGCTGGACGTTATTCCGATGGAATTTGTGGAGAGCAAGAAAATTCGTAATTGAATTTGAATAGTTCAGCGGAAAAATATCACTACCAAAGAATTATTTTATGTTGTTTTATTCAGCGTTTTTGTTCAACATTCAGTTGATGAATTTGAAAACTGCATTCTGTTGAAAAAAACTACAGATACAATTAAGCAATACCATAAATACATTTTATCAGCATCGCAAATGACAGTTGAAATTGCTAATAAATATTCATTGTTTGATGCGTTCATCGTAATAGATTGAATAAGCAATAATTAATAGGTGATTTTTTTGCGTTGTTTATAAATATCATTTATAACATTCTCTGATAACGACTAAGTACTTGTTATTCATCCAAAAAAGGCTTTGATAAAATGCTCGCATTCATACAGCATCACTTTACATCCACCAACGATTGAGTACTTTAACGTCCTCTTTTCGATTGATAGTTTCACATGACGCTGTCCTAATCAGATAACTTTTTGGATGAACACAACTCCGCCACAAAAGCGATCTTGTGAGCAAAAACACATTTTTTTCATTCTTACCCAGAAACACTTTCTCGTCTCATTTCTAATTCATCATTCCTCATGATTTTCTTGTCCAAATATATTACAGTTGTTGGTCATTACAATGTTTCGTTCATTATTTCATCAATGATTGTAGTTTACTCACAATGTCACTTTCTTCTAACGCATAGACAGTCAAGAAAAGACTAAGTGTTGAATGATGCTTGAGGTAGTCTTTTATTTTACTAGAAAGTTTTTACTGCAAAAAACATTTGCAAACCAAGTGAAAATGTGTTTACCGAGATCAAAATTCACTTGAATTCGGAACTTCGTGTAAATTCGATTAACTTAAATGCTCACTTGAATCTCGCCAATCACAGTCGCATTCAATTTTTGTCATATTAATCTGTTGAAGGTGAAATTTCAGTATTTAATTATGATACGTGAAACATCTACTTTGAACAAGAGTAAAATATAGTCTGGCGATTGAAGAAAAAGCTATTTATTAAAGTGACAAGGACTTAAGTGCAATCATTAATCTTTGATATCTTGTTTGATAAGAACTGGCTACAAAGCTGATAACAACATGATTAAAACCACACTGTCGAAAAACTCAGTATTTATGTATCAATGTCCATAACCAATAGCTGTTGTCAGTAGCATAGGTGTACTTCAACATCACCACATCCAGTACACCTTGTCGGTTATCTTCACAGTTCCCTCTTAATTATTCTTTGTTAATATTCGATATGCTTTGCATCGGATACTAACGGCGACTGAATGAGTGAATATTGGGTATAAATATAGATGAATCAGTGCATTGATGAGAGAAATGAATTAAGGTAGTTACTGGATCAGACAGGATGAGTACTGAAGAATTGATAAGCACGACGGTACCAGCTATAGTCGAAAAAAGTGTCATTACGGGTCTCACAGCATGTGCCGTGGCATCAGTATGTTTTGGGTCAATGTTCGTTCCCGTAAAAAAATTTGATGCTGGTGACGGTAGGTTTGCTTATCATTTGATGGTAAGCGTATGAATTAAGCGTTTCTGATTTTTTGCGATGGACCTTCTTGAGGTAGAAATACATTTAGAAGGGAATTTATTCGTTAAGGAATTTTTCGAATAGAAAATATCGAAATGAAATTTAAAAACTGTAATAGGGACTTTGTGAATGACTGCAACAATTTTTTGCAAATGAACAAATATTTTTCAGGTCTTTACGTACAGTGGCTAATGAGCATCGCAATTTTGATAATATCTTTTGGTACATGGCTGTGGGAGGGATTGCCACCGTTCTATCCTCTCGCAATGATTGGAGGTGTTCTCTGGTGTTTAGGTATACGGTAATTACTCGTTCTCCGTCAAATTTTGCACCTGAAATCGGTTCCCAATGAGTCCTTAATGAATCATTCATTAGTAAATAAAAGTTTCCGCTGATCTTATTCTGAAAATGAGAATGATAATACATATCAAATTCCTGTTTTATTTTATCAGTTTTTTTTGGAACTTAGATACTGACATTGGAATTATTATATTTTGGCAAATGTATATGTGTATAGAAGGCCAGCAATTGTTTCACTGAAGGTAATGTGACCGCAATACCAATAATCCGACGGTTAGGAATGGCAATGGGTATGCTGATTTGGAATACTACTAATTGTTTAGCTGGTTGGGCTGGTGGAAATTTCGGTCTGTTCGGCATGAAAGCACGTCCTGCTTCTAATCCACTACTCAATTACATCGGTCTTGTGTTCGTCATTGTTGGGTAAGCGTCACCTCATTAACTGTTTTCGGAGATCGTTTGTGAAATGAAATCACTTTCAGTGGCGTACTTTTCTCACAGGTAAAAGGTAATGCCCCAGCTGAACAACCACCAAAAGAAGTAACACTGGTTAGTCGTATATCAGTTTCAAATTTGATCAGTCGATGAAAATACACTTGAAACTCAACCTTTCGCTTTTCTCATTCATTATTCAATGATGAATGAACGTTTCTGCGACGAAAACGCACTGAATAAATTACGCTTAAGATTATACATTTTTGCTCTGTTCCACTCGTAAAACCATTTGGATTCTAAGCTGGAATGAAACTCGTTTTATCACTTCCAATGAACACTTTTGTAGGAAAGTTTAACAAAGGAAGAGAAGGATCAGCTGAGTTCAGACGATCCACCATCGGCGAAAGTTGTCAATGACGAGAAACAAGCCGAACAAGAAAAACATTCTGATAGCAAAGATCGTTTGGTGTAGGCAGACTACTTCGTCATTTCAAATACTTTCGAATTGGATGAAGTATAGAGTTTTAATAGGGTCTGCCTGTTCAGTCGCATGAGTAAAATTATGAAAGAAGCTGAAAAAGCTCGACTGAATGCGGAAAGTCTATTACATTATCACATGTTGATCATTTTGGAGATGTTTCTCACCCGATTTTAGAATACTAGGTCATCGACCTGCGTTTTTGATGTAAAGAAAGGTCTTTGCAGTGGTTTAGCTCTTGCACTTGGAGCTGGCTTTTTGTACGGAACAACGTTTGCTCCAGTCATTTATATTCAAGACAACGTGGAAGGTGCAGATGGCCGGGGACTTCCGTATGTCTTTTCTCATTCAATGGGAATCTTTCTCACATCAAATCTCCTTTTCATCGGATACTGTCTTTATAAGTAAGTGCTTCGCTAATTATTCCATTCTTATTGAACAAAGCGATATCAAAAACAGTGTGAATCCGTTAACTATGTGCCATTCATTTGTAATTCCATCTAAAGAATTCCAATTCACTGTTGGCTTCATTCAAGGATAAGTTATGAGAAATGAATGCACTCAAAGATCAATTAACATTAAAATTTTGAAATCAAAACCTGAATTTTTAATCAGATAATTTCTAGCCTGAATTTCACCCAATCTAATGCTTTGCTGATACGCTTGAAGTATAGGACGGCATATCAGAAGAAACACAACTCTAAGAATTGCGTTTCATTCCAAAATAATTGATACATTAATTTTAAGGAAGAACAATCCCATAATTAATAACACAATCACACTGCCAGCGCTGTGTGCAGGTACCATTTGGATCGTGGCACAAACGTCATTCTTCATTGCAAACGAGAACCTCAGCCAAACAGTTTCTTTCCCAATTATTACTATGGTGCCAGGATGCGTTGCATCTGTTTGGAGCATTCTTCTGTTCAAAGAGATTCGCGTCAGTTTCATTATGGAATAAAATGAAATCGTGCAACAGAAATGAGCACAACCATAAGAATAGCGCTATCGTAGAACAATGCACATTCGTAAGCAATCTGCAACTGCATCCTACTAGACTGATACTTGCAAGTCGAGTGGCTATGTTTAGCTTTCGCGGCGCCTTCCTTAGCCAGCTTATAGATCAAACCGGCTATTGGGCAACGTCTGGCCGTAAATCAAATATGAGCCCCGAAATGATTGACAATAAGAATGTTGCTAATTTGATTGGCGAACAACTTTCGAGAGCATTTCTGAACCTCATCATAGTCACCGAATCCTTTTCATGGCCTTATTGAAGTTGCATATTTGGAAAAACTTATTCTTTAAACTAACGTTAGGACCTTGCTCAACAAATCCTGACTTATGGTACATTCGTTCGATGTAGTCCCGTGATGTTTCCTGATTTTATATACTACACAAAAATCAGCTTCAAACATTAGGAAAATTTTTGACATATGATGCAGGTCCACAGACAAAAATATTCATTTTGTAACGAAGGATTTGATTTCTTCAGGGAGCTCGTAATCTTCGTTTGCTTGGAATCGCAATCATCATCACTTTATGTGGAGCATTAATGGTTGGACTCTCGAAAGATCTCGTTTTCTAAACAGCAGATGAGAGTGTACACTGAATTTTCGAAATTGTATCGCTTGTTTAAAAAAACTGAACACAAAACTCGGTGAACGGATATTCGAGTATCGAAAAAATTGAAACGCTCAACTGGTATATCCGCAAACCAGTGAACAGCCAGCTCCTTCTTTCTATGCTCATTGCCCCATTCACTTCAATGACTAATTGTGTTTAGGGTCGTAAAGGCTTTACCAGATGTTTATGTGCAGATATTTGAATAAAATTTCAACAAGATGAATGTCAATTATGAAAATCTGAACACTTTTACTCATCATTCAAACGATTACCCGAAGATGGGCATGCCACTGAAAAACGATAGCTCCGCTATCGCTGATCTGCTGAACTAAAAACTGTTTGGTCTGCTAAAAATTGGGCTATTGCTTTTGTCGCCAAAACAATAGCGAAGCGCTATCGCTGATTAAGCAAAATTAGTCCGCTATTTGCTATCGCTATCGCTACTTTGGAATCTTTCCTCAAAGTTTGCAGTTGCACCACTTATTTGCATGGGAAAAAAACCTCATTACGCCATTAAACAGATGAAAATTTTTATTGAATCATTCAACAATAGATAATCATTCCGACAATAAGCACCAGTCAATAATGAAACAAGCTTTGACAATGAGAAAATAACCAAACGACGACAACAAAATTCAAAGATGAAAAGCAGTCAGTTGACAACAGCTCACATTACACTTTCTCATTCCTTCTTAAGAAAGTCAACATGCTAAGCATTTCGTCTGAAATTCTGGATCGTCTGGACCTTATCGTATCGTCTAACTCAGTCTACGAGATGAAAATCACCGATCATCACGCCTATACACGGAAATGATTGTGAAATGAATCCACCAAACTACCATCCCATCGTATTAATCTGCTCAAGTTCTGAAGTTTTGGGGAAAATAACTGCAACTGACAAACCATTTTACAATAAAAGAGTTGTTTTTCCGTTTCCACTGTGCCTTTCTAGATAGGGGATCAATCACTGCGGTTCCATTCTGATACTAGCAAAACTGTGTCTCTCATATAAACTACAGAGGCTACACCGAAACTATAAATTTCAAATTTAAAAAAGCAATTGCTTCGCTATCCATACCTGAATTGAACTCAAAAGTACGAGCATACGCCATACAAGATTGTCTGGACAACTGAATCCGAAACTTTCTTATGAACCATTTTCAATCAGTTCAAATTACTGATTCTTTTTT